GGAGGAGAGGGAGGAGGGCAGGGCGGCAGAGGGGAAGGGGGACGGGGGACCCTCTCCTTTGCTGCGCATGACGCAGCAGGCTGTTCTGTCCTTTCAGCTATTCCTGTTTGGGGGACAGCTACAGAAAACATGACTTTGAATTCAACGGTGTATTCTGGGTACTGTGTGGGCGGGAGATGCTGTTCCTCAGAGGATCTGGTTTGGGGGCAGGACGAAGCGTCCACGGGAGGACCTGGTCTCTGCGAGGCAGGTGTTGTGGAGGGACACGGCCACGCTCTGGAGAGACCAGGCACGCGTGCACGGGAGACAGGGCCACCGTCCGAGCTGGTCACAGGGCCCGAGCGGCTCTGAGCCCGTGCGTCTCCCCACAGCCCCGGGACCCAGTCCTGGGGTGCAGAGCGCCCTCCAAGAGCTTGGTGACACCCACAGGCCTGGGTGTGGGAGACGACAGAGCCCAGGGAAACCGCCCGTGCTCCTCTGGGGGACACAGAACGACTCACTGGAGAATGTCTGCAGTTGCTCAGTGCTCACTATGAGCGACCCCACCACCACCACCACCACCACCACCACCCAAGCGCACCAGGACGCATGCCCTACTCTTTGTGCAGGTGTACACACACACACACACACTAAATCAACACACACACTCGTGCCTGACATTTGGATGCGATTTTAAAAACACGTCCAAACAAGACATGAACAATGACCTTTTCTGAGCAAATGTCTACTCTTTTTTAGCGAGAATACATTCATTACCAAATGTGCACACTGGCGGGCCCGCCAAGGGGGGCTGTCTTCCAGGGATCCTACTGCCCCAGACCCCTTCACCTCAGCCTGCAAGTGGGTTTTTCAGGTCTGAGTCCCTGAGGATCATAGCTGTCCCAAAATCTGTGTGGCTAAAAGTGGTGAGCCACCACCCCCCAGCCCACGAGGACATGCCCACAGCAGTCAGTCCCGATGGGGCAGGCTCCTTGCTTCCACAGGGGACCCGGATCATGGACCCCCGTGGGCTGCCACAGCCCGGCCTCAGCACACACAGTCTGCAGCCCCCAGGGACGGTGTGGATCTGGGGCTCCAAGCTTGGGCGTCGGATCTGGCTCTATTCATCCCCTGCACAAATCAGACTCAAAATCCCCTAACCCATCCCTGCCAGGCTTGGGGAAGAATCTTCCTTCTGGGAATTTTGTGTTGCACAAGACAACACGGTGCCCTGGTGAGCACGCACGGGCTCCGCTTCCACTGTGTCCCCGAGCCCCTCCTCCTGGGCACACCCCCCGTACAACGGGGCCCTCCTCCCCCTGCTCTCAGGCCACTCACCAAATGTGATCCGCCCTGTCCCCTCCTGGTCGATGGCCCGGAAAAGGTTGGTCACACTGAGCTCTGCCACCCCTAAGGCAGTCTTGAGGATGCGGGACAGGGTGTCCTCATCGATGTCTCCGTCCCGTGACCCGTACATCTGCAGGCAGAGGCCAGCGTCACCCCATGAGGCCCCCAGCTGTGCGGGCTGTTTCTCCTGCTCATGGGGTTCCCAGCTCTCAAGCAGGCCCTGACCCCACTGGTTCAGAACAGCCAGAACTCCGCTCACAAACTGACCCCCACGGGGTACTGAGCTCTGAGCGCACAGCCCGCCCTCCCACACACGGCCTCCAGGTAGAGCGTGTCCCCCCGGGTCAGGGATGGAGCTGGCACCCTGGGCTTGCTGGCACATGTGGGGGCTCATGGGCTTTCGCTCAATGACACGAATGAGCCACCACCTGGCTTGACCTTCAGGAGGTGGCTAACCCACGGACCCTCTTTCCAACAGCTTCTGCTTTGGTTCTGGCAAGTGACCGAGAGAAAGGCATCGGAGGGCTGGTGTGCTGTGAACCACGGTGTGGGTCCCCTGTAGGGAAAGGATGTCCACCCTGCCAGCCAGGACGAGCAACGTGGCCTTTGGGGGGTGCCGCCTCCCCCGGATCCACCTCCTTCCGCAGCCAGTAAGCCTGCCCCTCAGGCAGGAGCCTCGGCAGGGCTGCCTGAAAAACGGTCTGCTCCATGTTCCAAGACACAAGCCAAGCACGGCCACTGTTCCCAGACCAGACTCTGCAAGCTGACAGCAGAGAAGTTGCCGGGCTGGGGTCCATCAGAATGGGGTGTGCTGAAGGCAGGAGTGCAGAGGGGCCACGAGCCAGGTGCAGGCCTAGCGCTCTCAGAGCTAGCTTGCTCAGGCTGGAGGAGGCAGGTCAGGCCTTCCTAGACAGGGCCCACCAAATATCAGTCACCCAGTTAATTCTCACGGTGTTATCCACGTGAGGCACTGTGCACTGAGGGGGTTTCCCGGTGATGCTATGGGGAGGGGCTGCTGGGGTCATAAACAAGAAAGGGGGCATTCTCTAAGCAGTGAGAGACAAGCATCCAGCTGGCTTATACCTCAGGTTCTCATGAATCTGGTTAACGTGAGTTGCACCTGCAAGAAGTACCCATTCTGAGACCCTGACAAAATGTGTTTCTAGGTGAGTAAAGCCAGCCCAGCTCTGTCCTGGCTGACGGTGTCCTGGTGAAGCCAGCCAGGTGAATCCGCAGGTGAGCAGGGACCCCATTATGGGTGTCTCCCAGACTCTGAGAATCCCTGCAGCAGGGGTGAATGGCTCGGCTCTGGACAGGCAGCTCCTTCGCACCCTAAGTCAAAGGGCTGATGAAGAGGTCGAGTTGGGAGAGCTGAGAGGTGTGGGGCCGCGCAGGATGGACGTGTAACACCACTTGGCGTGGGGCCCTCATCAGCCCTATCCAGGCTGGAACTCACGAAGACCCTCCTCCATGCCCTTCTCGTTGAGTGTGGATTACGAACCGCAGGCGGAAATCGATTTGAGGAGGTTTGGGGGCATTTGTACAACAATGGCTGATAGAAGCTTCCGTGAAAATAGCAGTCAGGCACAGAGTACGTCTGCCCGTGTGATAAGGAGCTGTGAAAATGTAGGCGAGGCCTGCCGTGACTCTGTGTCTCACTGTCCCTACAAATTAAACTCCCATAAATGCCACACTTGCCTTGAACGCGAGCTGGATGGTGTCCAGAGTCCGGGATGGCCGGCAGACGACAGACAGGGCGACCACGTACTCCCGAGGGTCCATCCTGCCGTCTCCGCCCTGGGAATGAGACACGCCCTCAGGGGACAGCTCAGCCCCTCCCACGGGTTGGGGGAGCTGGGTTTGAACGCTCATTCCTGGACCTTATCTGCCTCCATGAAAGGAATATTTTGGAAGAACATTCATAACCAACTGGCTTTTGCAAGGTGGCCACACCACACACCCTTTTTAGGTCATTATGGTCGATTTTCAGAGTCCAGGAGATTGGCGCATGCAGCGTAAGGAAGTTCATGCCACCTGCTAAGGCTTTCCTTCGAGGAAAACCCCAGCGCACAGCAAGGTGCACACTCACGTCCTGAGAACCTAGTCGCATGTGGCAGAGAGGTGAGCACGCAGAATGAAGGTGGTCCCGAGCTACGATGTGGTCAGTGCCCAGGCCTGGCCCGCTGGACGCTCACCGAGCTCCATGCAGAAGGTCCTCAGCGACCCAGGGGGTCACCACGGGACAGGCGCTGCTTCCAACAAACAGGCCACCGCAGTGAGTGGAACGAGCCAAGGGGTGGACCCAGGGCAGAGGAGGCTCCCGGAGCACTGTCTCCCACCCCTATGCCCAGTAGGGCCACCCATGTCCTGGACTGCACTGGTGACCATGGACTCCTCGTCCAGACATGATGGGTTTCTTGATTATGGGCGTGGCTGGCGGAGGTGCGTGGAGCGCCGCACGGGGACAGTCCTGACGCATTTCGCGGAAGGCCAGTGGTGACCCTCTACATAGGCCCGTCGTCGGGAAAGAGGCCCACTACCTAGAAATTCTGGATTTCTGGAGAAGGGAACACTCTTTTGATATTTTTAGGGTTTTCAGCGATTCCATTTAAAACCCCAAACTACAGGTTTATCAGCAAATGTCAACTTAAATGTCAAACTTCTATGTGCATTTAAAAACTCGGGAGAAAATACCCAAGGGACAGGGGGGCTGGTCGGGGCAAGGGGGGGCCGTTTTCCCTCTCTCCTTCCCAAATCCCCAAACAATGCTTATTAGGAAACAATACACATCTGAAAGCCGGAGGTTTTGCACGAAACCCCTCCCAGGGTGACGGCCTCACCTCATCAAACAGGGAGAACATGTCCTCCAGCGTGTCTGAGATAGGGACGCCCAGGTACTCCGCAAACTCAGGGAGACCCAACTTTCCTCCCCTCTGCCTCTTGGCGCTTTTGGAATATTTATCCAGATCCTTCTCAAGTGTTTCTGGTTTTAACCTACACACAAAAAGAGGAAAAGATATTTTTCATTAAAATTACAGAATGCCAAACACAGGAGATTTACTATAACGAGACTCAACAAAATATTAAAATTGCTTCTACAGCGAGCAGCAAGTTCATTCTCAACAAAAGGTGTTCTAATAATTTGAAGGCACACCATGTATGCTGCCTCAGCGTCTACAAAGGGGTGACGCCCTGTCCCCTCCGTGGAACCCCCTCACGCAGGTGGGTGTGACCGTTGGCTGGGACCGCTGTGCTGGGCACGGAGAGTTATGAGACACTTCTACGTGGACTGATGTGGACACGTGGACACATGGAGAGCTCCCACAAACCCTGAGCACAAGCACCTCTGTCGGCTTGAAGGCCCAGCTGGCCCTCAGCGCCCACCGTGATCTCCGGCTTGGTCACCAACAACGGCAGGGGTGGGGGCCCCTGGGAGGGTCTGACAGAAGTTTCTGGAAGCTTCCTGTCTTAGAAAAAGCATCTCGGCAGTGCTGTTCAGAACTCTCCCGTTCCTGAGCGAACCCCATGAGCGTGGCCAGATAAGCCACGGTGCGTGAGGGAGGGGTTTGAAAAGAAAAAGCGTCACACTCACCCCAGGCCCCTCACCAGCCTGGCAAATTCTAGAAGGCAAGTGTCCGCAGGGAGACGGAGCTGTCCTTCCGCCAGGGCCAGCTGGCAGTCCTCAAATGTGTAGTCGGTCACGGAGATGCCCAGGGCCCTGCAAAGAGGAGGGCATCCCGGTCAAGCGCCCCCGGGGCAGCAGAGCGAGAAGGACGGCTCGGGGTGACCACGGGAGAGGGAGCCACATCAAAGTAATGCAGGCCCCACTTCCCAGGCCCCTCCCCAGTGGCTCCTGACCCCGTCCACGCAGCGGTGGCACCTGTCCCACGTCCCACCGAGACCCCGTGCGTCTGAGGCAGGCCGTGGCTTGTGCGTGAGGACATGCACTTGGGGTCGGCGAGCCCTCCCTCTGGGGCCCATGAGGCTTATCTGCAAGTCATGCTTTTGCAGGGGTGTCCGTGTGCTAATTTTGTGGCCCCCATGAAACACGTTTTAGTTAAACAGGAAGAAATTGCTACAAATACAGGTGGTGTCCAGGGCAGCTGTGCAGGCCGTGGAAAGAACAAGCTTCCCGAGAACGTGGGAGGCCCACGTGGAGCCACAGCTGGAGGTCGGCGGCTTCGCTCCAGAAAGCCCCAGGGAGTCGGCGGCGCTGGGGTGAGGAAAGAACTCCAGGAAGCAGGAGGAAGCGTCCAGAATGAAGCCAACATTTAAGACTGGACTAAAGCACAGGAATCTGTGAAGGTGTCTGCCAGGCCGGTGAACCGCTCTCGAGCCTGTAGGGGCTCGTCAGGCGGCCGTGAGTAGTGCTCGGTCCCTTCGGCAGCTGGGGGCCCAGCGAGGCCAGCTCCCGCCATTCCAGCAGATGGCAGAAGCCCTCGCCGCAGCCTGTGCTGCGAGATAAAGCCAGGAAGGCCTCGTGGGAGGGACACCCTGAAAACTTCCCTGGGTCTGGACACATGAAGGAGGACAGGCTTCGTCCCCCCAGGCTGTCCACAGACAGGAAAAGCCATCCCTCCCGTCCGCTCCCACGTGTCCCTCCCCAAGAAGGGGCATCTGGACAGGGCCTGTGCAGGGCAGAACCTGGGGGATGGAGGGGGGAGGCGATGGGGGTCCAAGCAGGGGTGCTATGGCCCCGACGGCTACAGCCCTGGCCCTGGGCGCTCGCCCCAGGGCCCTGCAGGACCAGAGTTCTCACACACGCCCACAGAAGCATCCTGCCACACAGATGTCTGTACTGGGAGCCACTGGGTGGCGAGCACTCTGAACGCCGACATGCACAGAGAGACAATGTTCCGAGTCCACATCTGGCACTAAACATGAATGCTTACCAGTGGACCCCAAAGTCCAATCACATAGAACCTGGGGCTCCCCCAAGCTTTGCGGTTGGCTGAGTATTACTCTGGTTTCCACCCTGCTAGGAAGCAAGCGTGTAGCTGGTGCTTCGAGGACACCACCCCACCGGGTGTCTAATTCGGAAGCTCAACTCGTCTTAGGGGTGGTCAGGGGCTGCTTTCATCGGGCTGGCGGTGCCCCGAAGTCAGAGCTCAGCCATTCTAAAGAACTGCATCAGATTTCATGAAAAATGCCCTTCTTCTATTAAAGGAAACAATGGTAGAAAACTTGCCAAGTATTTAAAACTAAGCCCCCTCCCCCAATAACCGAATGGGCTTTTAATCATCTCCACAGTAGTTCCTCACTGCCATGACGGTACCATGCAATTGTGGCTAGGAGACAGGGGATTCAAAGTCTTCCTTCCACAGCTAGTATAACCCCGCTTGGCAGACTCAGGTACCATCGGGTGGGGGCAGAACCTAGGATTACCAGGAGCATCTCAGGTTATCCCCACAAGGAGGCAGGAGGAGGTGCACTCGGGCTGCCCGCGATGCTCACCGGGACTGGGCCGTTCTCAGTGGGTGCAAGGACGCACTTCCACATTTCTGGGTTCTCCCATGGCTGCGGGGGCAGGGGGCTGCCCAATGGCTAATCTGCCCTTTTCTATTTGATATTAAGATGCTTCTCTTCCATTAACACAGGGAATTTATGATATATACATTTTTCCAATATAATTAGCTAATTTATTTGAATGTGATCTAAAAAAATTCACACTTAACCCGTCAAACCTTTGATTCCATGGAGATTATTTCTTTACTGAGAGGTTGAACACCCTGACTTCCCCCAAATTGAGAGTCAAGTGCATCCTGACAGCCAACTGCTCTCCATGTGACCTGGTGTGGGATTCCGAGAGTGAGCAGGAGATGAATTCTGGCGAGTGGGTGCCCGAGGAGGCTGGGGGTGTCCCACTGGACTCTGTCCCTAGCACCTACCTTCCTGAGGGGCGTGCGGACGATGTCTGAATACCCCGCAAAGTTTTAATTTACATATGTTGAGGTTATGATTTTGCTTAGTACAGTCTCACAAAATATGTGAATGTGGGGGGTCTGATGGGCACACAGTGAGGGGATGGGGCTGACTTCACACCTCGGTCACACCAGCTCGGCCACAGCGCAGGGAAAACCCCTCCAGAGCCACATGAACCTCCCACGCGGGAGGGGCATGCCTGTGGAGCCGCTGAGACCCCCTCCCCGCCCCGCACAAACGCAGAGGCGGGCCCTGCTGCCCGGGAGCAGAAGGGAGGAGGAGAAGACAGGACAGGGCACGTGAGGGGAGGAAGACACGCAGGGCGCAGGCTGCTGTCACCCCATCCAAGATAGCGGGGAACGGTGTGGAATCAGGAAGCAAGAACCTTCGAACGGCACGCTCACTTGTCGTGGAATTCGCGCACGTTATCTTAGAGGTCAGCATCTAGTTCCCACACTGGATCTGGTAAGCTGGATAAGGGCGCCAGCATAGACCACACGAGCCGGTGCAGAATGTGAAGATCGTCCCACGGGCTGCCAGGCGGTGCTGCCGTCCCCGTCGCGTGCACAGACCGGCGCCCTGGTGACCGGTTCCTACCACACAGGTGAAATCTATGAAGTTAGGTGGTGATGATGCAGATCCAGAAGCAGGACCCGGCAGAGACTGGGGGTGCAGAGCGGCCGAGCACAGCCGCCTGCCCAAACGCACAGTCAGCACTTACTCATTCGCTTCTGCAAAGACCCGTTTTCCGAATGCCACTATGTTTTGTGCCATGCTAAGGAGGAACCAGCCCATGAATGGGCACCCTAATACTCTGAGGGTCCCCAGGGGATGAGGGTGTTCGGAGGACGCCATGGACTCTGGCTCTGACACGGCAGGATAAGGGGCACTCACTCGGCCATGACGCGCCGCACGTTGCTGGCGTACAATGCGGGGTCCTTCTTCTCTTCCTCTGAAGGGCTGTACACGGGGAGGAACTGAGCACAAGGAAGACTGCGTTACTTCCATGCGCATCACAAGCCCACCACAGTGCAGCTATGAGTCTAACACAATGAAGATTTGTCAAAGCAGTTTCCATCAGAACCACCTTCAACGTGGCCACGGTGTGCGTGTGCACGCACACGCAAACAGACACACATGCACATGTGTGTGAATATAGCCGATTCCTCAGGAGCGCTCGCTCCCCTGAGACAGAAGCTCGTGCTTGCCAGGGCACTCCGCATTTCTAATTTCACATGGAAGCCTTCTCTTGGGGTGCACAAGAATTACATGTGTGCTCCTCTTTCTAAAAGTCTCTGCTTGTGTTGGGGAGAACACAAGACATTGTTAAAAGTCCCACACTCTGCTGCCAACTCCACTGTGCAGAAAGGCAAACATCACTGAGCCCTTTTTCCTTAATACACACACACAACAATATGGGGACACCCCGAAGCCTTATCAGTTCCCACCATGTGGTTTCAGGTGTTCCCCCCCCACCATATACCACACACCACGGAAATCGTGGCAGGCGCTCACGTCAGCACTGGTACCAGTCAGCACAGCACGAGTGAAGACACTTAGAAGGGTTTCAGAAAGTCAGAGTTTCCTTTAAACTCTGAAAACTGTGGGGAAGCCTGGTGGCTCAGTCGGTGAAGCATCTGCCTTTGGCTCAGGTCATGGTCCCAGGGTCCTGGGATTGAGTCCTGCATTGGGCTCCCTGCTCCCACGGGGAGCCTGCTTCTCCCTCTGCTGCTCCCCGTTTGTGCTCGCTCTCTCTCTCTCTGACAAATAATTAAATCTTAAAAAATAAAAAACCAACTCTGAAAACTGGAACTGAGGCCTGAAACAGAGGAGTGCACACTGGAGGCGTCCTCCCCTGAGCCCCGCTGCACGGCTGCTTCCCGGCCACCCGCAGACAAGCCACATGTAATATTCTACGTGGATGGCTGCCACCCTTGGACTCGGGCCAGGGACCTTTCGGCTCAGTGTGTTGTAATTAAGTGGCTTATGTTGTACTTTAGTGAAAAATCTGGAACCTGGCTGAAATCCATGTAAATTCAGTGCAACTCTGCAACTTTTATCAGAAGGTAGCAAACTGCCTCATTAAACCCTTTCCGTCGTGTTCGGGCTCCCTTTTCAGGGGCAGAGTAGCCGACTGATTCCCTTTTAAGAAAGAGACTCTATTCCTCATCCACTTGGATAAAATGTATAGACTACACGAATGTGGCTATTGAACTGAGCTGAGAGAATGGGCGTCATGACTTTGGGACATACAACGGGCTGAAAGCTGGAGGCAGGTTATGTGATCTGACCACGGACTAGACAGAGAATGACAGGATGACAGGTCTGCCATATGAATCCGACAGTGTCAGGATCATGTAAAAATGCCAAGACGTAATTCACTGCACATGTGCCAATTTTAAATGCCTTCAAGCTATGCTAACCATAATAAAAGAAGGGTTTAACTTCCTTGTTGAGTTTTAAAGACCTATCTGATTCTTGCAAAATCATGCAAGAGACACAAAGTGACTGATGAAAAACCACAGGGAAGTACCTCTGAGGAGCAAGGAGAAGTGGAAAGATTTCAAAGCAAGACAGATGACACACAATGTTGTATCTGTACAGACAGCAACGTGACAAGTAGAACGTCCTGTCTGTGTAGATACCAACACTATCTCTAGAGATGCCCACATCACAGTGTATCTGCAGGCACCAGTAAAACCTCACGTCCACAGATAACATCATGTTGTCTTTGTATAGACACCAACATGACACTGCATCCACAATGAAACCCTGTGTAACACTATCCACACAGACACCAATAAAATGCTGTGTAACACTGTATCTGTATGGACAACATACAATTTCATCTGTGGATACCAGTGTAACATTGTATCCACACAGATGCAACATAATACTGCACATGTAGACAATGTAACTGTATCGCTCCGTATGGGTGCAGATACCCGTAGACATTCTATAACACAGTATGTGCACAGACTGTAACACCATGTAATGTTATAGGATATAGACCCCGACATAACACTGTATCACATTGCATCTAGACAGCTTAACACAGCACTCTGATACTGCATCTTTATAGACCCTTGCATAATGCTGTTTAACACCGCATCTGTACAAACCTCGATTTCCACTCGATTGTGAAACTGACACAGTGTGAGCCACAGGATTTTCAACCTTAAAAATGAACAAACAGATTGACAGCATTGGTTAAAAGATTCTCAATGTCTTTTAATTAAATTACTTCCAATTCTGGAGCAAACTCCCCGGATGCCTGTCCCCTGCAGAGGGCACTACTGGGCAGTTAATTTGTTTAGGGGACGCTGTGCCTCCCTCAGCCTAAAGCAGAGCCTTACAACACTGTGATGAGGATGGGGCTACTCTTACTAATCAGGGTTCCTCACTGTCCCAACGAATGCACCCACTCCTGCAGCTCTCCTTTGCCCTGCACGCCCCCATTTCCCAAGTGTGTCTTCTGGCTCAGGAAACCTCCTCTACGTGACACTGTCCCACACCTGTCCCCAGGCAATGCAGACTCAACAGGCCCTGAGCCATGCCACCCCCAAGGCCGGCCCCAGAGCTCCTGACCTCAGAACTGGCATCACCACCCTTTATTTGCAGAAGCTGGAAATGCGGAGCCATCTGGAGCCTCTTGTCCTTGGGCCATTGCTCCTCTCCGCAGTGGACAACTGTCCTCTTAACTCTTTCGTACATACCCGACTTCTGCCCTATCACTGCCAACCCCAAGCCTGGCTACCAGGGCCCAAAAGAGCCCTTCCCACCTTTCTCCCAGCGTCCCCCTTGCTTCTCACCCTCCACCCTCCACACTCTGGCCTCAGCAATGCTAACACCAGCGCCCACATATGCTGCCCCTCAGTGTACCTCCCCAGCATCCGTTCCAAATGCCTTGCCCAGAGGCCTTGGGAGGGCTCGGCCTGGCCCCACCACCCACCCTTCTGCTGCACCAGGTCAAAGGCTGGCACCACGGAGGCCTGCTGTCCTAGAACCCGAGCCTCCCCCATGCAGTTTTTTAAAAGGAGGACCGTCCCTGCAGCCCCCCTTTCTTTCCCAGCAGCTGCAGGGTGCGGTGTGGATGGGATGGTGGCCACTGAGCCGAAAGGCACACGTGGGGACAAAAGAGCACTCCACAGTCACCTTCCCTCTGGAGTCGAAGACCATTAACTTAGGTCCTGGAGCCCAGGAGTGTGCGAACAGACCAGGCTTGCACACTTGGCTTTCACAGTGGGCAGACCCTAACTGCTGTCAGAGAGCAGTGGGTTATGTGTTCCGAGGATCCACATTTGCAGAAGTGCCCAGAATGCAGGGCAGTCGCTTGAGTGGCCCCTGTGCTTTCCCAGAAGGACAGGACACACGAGACACTACAGGGTCTGACTTACGCTCCGGGGCCTTGCCAGGTCCAAGTGATGGTGTCCTGGGGGCAAGAAAGGAGCAAAATGAATCACAGCTGGAAATCAGGCACCCGGAGTTCCCTCAGGAGCCCTTCCTTCCATGGTGTGCCCACCCTCTGTCCTGGCCCTCAACCTGGCCCACCTCTGACCTCAGAGATGCTGGTACCCCTCTTCCTCCCAAGCGCACTCTGGGACAAGGGAGCAGATGGGTGTCCATTGCCTCCAGGCCACCCAGACACACCCCTGTCCTCCCACGGCTCCAAGGTCCACAATTCTGATGTCCGCCTGAGATGCTGCCCCAGTTCCGTTTTCTGCCCTCCCCCGTGTTCAAGGTGTCCCTGCCAGTATCAGTCCACAGCACAGGAACCTGCTTTTTGCGAGCAGTCCCTGCGACACTTGCCCTGCCATCACCATCACATGAGGCTCATTCCAACCCACACCCACCTGTACCCCCAAGGCCCTGGCCTCCACCCTGAGCCAGAGATGCCTAGCAGATGAGCCGAGGCTTGGGAGGGAGAAGAAACCACTGCAGAGCCCCAAGCGTGCCCAGGACCTTGAGTGCCGTGGGCGCCCCCCATCTGCAGTTTTAGCTGCTGCACCAGCCACCTAGGTGGGGACGTGGGAGGACACACACCCTGTTTCCACCCCGACACTGGGCTTCTTTCTTCTGAAACCCTGACACCCACCTGCTGGCTTCCCACAGACTCTTGAAAAGCCACCCACCACAGGGGCTTCCCCGGCCCCCAACCTGCCCTCAGCCACTCGTCCTCCACACGGGCCTGCGTGCAAAGCTGTTAGTGGTAGTGCTCCCTGAAGCTAGGCCGCTGAAGAATGTGACACAGACTGATGGGATGAGTGAGTAAAGCAGCTGTTCTGCTTCTCTGACAACTGAGAACCCAGTAGAGACAATCTGCTTAAAGTAAGTTGACGAAACAAGCTTAAAGAATAGAAAATCTAGAATTCCACACACTGATGATTCTCTTAGTCTCAGACGCTGGCTAGTGAATGCACCTCTTCAGAGCTTCTGGTGTGCACTCTCCCAGTCATTTTATCTGTCAGTTTGTGCGGCTACGGGTTCTGACCGACATCTACTGACTGACCACTTGGAGAACCTCTTTTGCGCCATGTGCACGTGTAGGCACAGGGTCTGGTGTGCAAACCTGGGACCCTCTGGGTCTGGCCCAGAGGCGGGGGGGGGGGCAGCCCCTCATGCCCACAGATGTCACACGTAATTCTGCCTCCATCTAGACTAGCAACTCCAGACCGCACCGTGCTGTGATTGCTGAGTTTCTTTTTTGTCCTCATGAAGACGCACCGTGATAGGGAGAAAGCTCAGTGCAGTGAACAAATCCACCTCGTGTGTCCTCCATCAAGAAACAGTCCAGAGCACCCGCACCCACGCAGGGCCCAGGGACATGAGTCTTGGCGGTGAGAGCCCAATGCCCATGTAGGTGCAAGGACATCCGCCAGGAGGGGGTCACGGCAGAAGTGAGATGCAGTGGGCACCGAACAGCACCCACCGGAGCTCAATGCCTGCCCTGGGGAGTGCAGCCCACTGAACCGGACGCATGTGGCACGTCCACAGGGCCCCCGGGAGAAGGGACAGCTGAGGATGCCCACACAGGTACGTGGTGGGGCTCTGACCACAACCTGAGGAGGATTTTTCCAGCCTTCCTGCCTCCCCCAAGCTGGGGGTCCGTCAAGATCATCGAGGCACTCGGAGCCCCAAACACCCCTTCTTTTACTTTGCTCTGACATAACAAGCGAAGACCTCCGCACGGAGGCAGGTGCACACAGAGGCATATTCAATACAGAGTCACTTATGCCTTTCCCGCCCGCTGCCCCCAGCCTTTCAGAACTTAGATTCTCTCAACGCTCGTTTTCCAGGTGAACAGGGAGCTAAGGCTGCTGAGGACGAGGGTGGATGGCTCACATCAACTCGGCAGGACCGATCAGCAGGGAGGAAGGGCCACCGCTCCCTGACACAGCCCTTCCTGCATGAACACTGGAGCAGTCCTGGAATCGCGGATTGGCTAGAAAAGACCTGCTGAGGCACCGGGAATTCTCATTCCCATGTAGGTCACTGTAATCCCAGGAAACACACTGACCAGTTTATTCGGGTACCGTAGAACCACAGGCTGCACAGGAACTCCAGGGATAAAGGCACCTGGGGGAAAAGGGGCATCATCTTATTTCGAGGGCAGAGCTCCTCCGCTGGGGGCCCGTCTCATGCTGGTCCCAGAGGAAAGCAGCGTTTCTGTCCCCCTTCCAGGTGAATGGTCACGGGGTGCCTGGAAGGCTCCCCTGACATGGGCATTGGCCGTGTCACGTCAGGAAGACCGCAGGCTTGCAGCCATGCCCTGCAGGGAACGGGCCCAGGAGTGTCTCCCCCACTTTGCTCAAGGAGGAAAACAGAGAATTTAAGAAAATTACATACCAGGCTTGAAGGTAATTAGGCAGGTCCTGTTGGTACATGTTCCTTCTGGAAAAATCATTATCTTGGAATGAAAAGAAAAAAAGGTTAGCCTTAAAGGAATAGAACCCAGAATACGGTCTATTTTCTCCACTGCTGAGATGCTTTAATCACACTCAATCGAAACGGCTTAGAAGCATGATGGAAGCATGCGTGGATTTCCTAAGTGTAAGTTCTATTAAGATCTGGAAGCAATGCAAACATGCAGACAGCACACGCCTCCTCAGAGCGTGCATCGGGGTGATGACCGCCACTGTGAGGCCCAGCTACCGCTGCCGGGACGCCCTGTCAGCATGCAGCACCCCCCCACACACACACCCGGGGCAAAGCAGGACCAAGGCACACAGAGGAGGGCTCAGTGAAGGGCCCTTGGCTGAAGGAATCGGGACCAGGGCTAGAACCGAGGCACAGCTGGGCCAGCAACCAGAAACACCACAAAACCAGCGGTTAAACCCCACTGGAACCCCAAATTACTCTGACTCGTACTGACCTCCAGCCACACGATATAAACTAAACTGTCCCCCCTGCACTGGAAACTACAGCCCACGTGGCTGCTTCCAGAGGCGGGGAGCCAGGCACCCTGGACGTCGCGGCCCCGAGGGCCTGCCCGTGAGTGAGGGTGCCCGGCACTCAGGCCTTCCAATGTTCTCTGAGCACCCAGAACCTGGACAGTCCCGGGGAGCTCCAGCTTCTCAGGCTCAGAGAAACACAGATGACACAGGCTGAGGCCGCTGCCCCGCCGCCCGCGTCAGGCCTTCCTGACGCTCCCTCGGGTGCCGGGCACACGCGGGCAAGCTCCGCCCAGGGTTTTCAGGAGCAAACAGCGACGCCTCACGGCTGGCGCACTTGTCAGGCGTGAGACTGTGCCAAGCAGAGCCATTTCAGCGAAGATGCTTTGGGAACTTGAGACACGCATGAGAACGGTCTTCTCGTTGTTTCAATCTTCAAATTTTAGGGCCCAAAAGTACCTGACACTCAGCACAGACTTGAATTCACACGCTCATCAAACAAAATGAAAGAAAAGGAACCTGGCCCCCAGGGAAGGCCCCCATCTTCCGGAATAAATCTGCTCAAAATGCAAGCAGGACTGCACTACCTGTGGCCACTTTCCATTCGACTGTGCCCGCCTCCTGATCTCCTCCACAGTCTTCCTTCGCGAATCCTGGTCGGACCGGGACACGAACACTGGCCGGATGTACTTTATCAGAGCTGGAGGGGGAGGAGGGGCGTTCGTTGGGAACCACGGCACCTGCTGCCGCAGGACTGGAGGGACATGGGCTGCCCACGGCAAGCGGGTGCAGGCGAGCCCCCAGAGACGCCCCGAGGGCAGCACTGTCCCCGAGGGCGGGTGGGTGTTGGGTCAATGCCTGATCATGAGGGCATCAGGAAAATCACAGAAGCTCCCTCCCACGATGGCATGAAACCCCACCACCGCGAAGTCCAGGGGAATGACACCAGTATCCCAGGCTGTAAAGCAGGAGAAAGCAACAAGAAGAGGCTGACAGAGGAGGGCGTTGGGGGGCAAAGGCTCCAGAGTCAGAAGGGCCCGAGGCGCATGGCTTAAACCCCACCACCCTGTTACGTGTAGACCCGTCTCCCTCAAAGACACGGGCTGACGTGCTGACCCCAGGTACCTGGGACTGTGACTGCACTTGGAAATTGGGTCTAAGATGACGTGGTGTTGGAGCAGGGTGCGCCCTGACCCACGTCCAGCGTCCTCTCAAGGAGGGAGAGACATGAGTGTGCACGCAGGGAGAAGGCCATGGGACGGCAGACGCCAAGACCGGAGTGATGTGACCAGAGCCACGGAATGCCGGGGATGGCGGGGAACCGCCAGAGGCTGCGGAGGCCTGGCACGGCCTCTCCCCAGAGGCTGCCCTCTCGCACCTCGACTCTGGACTCCCGGCCCCCAGGACAGTGTGAGAATCAACATCTGCTGTCTTCAGCCGCCCAGTGTGTGGCCCTCTGTCGGGGGCGTCCCAGGGCACTCACACAGCTGTGGTCCCAACTAGCTTGGCCCAGGGGGCCCACGGCCCTGCTGGGGTGGCAGGTCAGTGCCCTCGTGACCAGAGCTGACAGCAGCAACCAGCACACGGTTCTCGCACAAGAGGATCTGAAGGTGGGGAGACACTTCTTAGGAGAGAAACCCCAAACTGACAGGACCGTCATCCTTAGGGAGGGTGTCCGTCCACTCCCAGGAAGGACAAGTGCCTGGCCGCGGCAGCGGGGCATCCCCATGGGTGAGACACGTCCCCGCCGGGCCCAACATCAGCTCGGACTTCAGTGTTCTAACTACTCGTAAGAATAACATGTTGTGACTCTTCTTTCTGGGAGGTCTTCCAAAAGACAAAGAGAAAATTCATTAAAAAAAAAAAAGAACAATATTCTATCTCGTCAGGTCCATGGGACTCAAAATCTAAGCTGCACGTGGGTCTCAGTGATCTTTTCGTCTGGCATCTGGAAACTTCTTTCCCCATTGCATCGTTCTTGCCAATTCCTCCTAACTGTGCTGGGAGTGACCCGCAGGGAAAGGGCCGAGGGGATCGCCCACAGGACGAGACGACGGGAAGCCACGCAGCTTCCTATTGTCCACAGCAGCTCCGCACAGTCTTCCCAGGGTGGGAGAGAAGGCTGCAGGCTGGCTGGTCTCCCTGAACAGGGTTCCCCTTTCCTGGCAACGTGGAGGATGACTCTCCTCCGTCATGGATGAGCTGAGGCTCCAGGCAGAGGTGGGGAGCAGCTCTCTGGGCTCCGACGATGACGGGGCTTCCTCCTGACTGAAATCTCAGACTGCACCTCTTTCTGGGAATCCCTAGGTGAATACCCACACTGGAGACCTCACAACTGAAGAGCTTGCTTCCGAGGACAGAGAGGAAATGTGGCTGCCTGCCGGGTAAGCCCCAGCGGTGTTGGCAACAAGGGGCCGGGCAACAAAACTGTGAGCTGGCTCTGTCACCTCTGACCCTGAGCACCAAACCTCCTCAGGTCTGTAAACTCCCAGGTGCCCATATCAAGGACACTGAAAGTAAACTGACAATGTAACAATGACAGAGATCCCTGGGCTGATTACTCTCACTGGTATTTACAAATCTGAAGGTGAAAATATTTTGAATATTTTTAACATTCATCTCTTCACCAAAGTTGGTAGCTGTCAAAGGGTGTCCAAAAGCTTCGTGCTTTAAACAACAAGGATGAGAGGAACCAGAAGGAACAGCCAGTGAGCCCCCCCCCCCCCCCCCAGTGACACGGGAATCCAGACTTGCGTCACGGGGTTTGTTCTGGTCACACACGATGGGAGAAGCCCTCAGCTGCATTCCTAGGGGAGAGTCCCTTTCAGGTGTATTTACCTTCAAAACCCGGAGAAAGGGAATACAATTTGGGATTTGCCATATATGGTCTACGGCCATACCACCCTAAACATGTCTGATCTCGTCTGATCTCGGAAACTAAGCAGGGTCGGGCCTGGTTAGTACTTGGATGGGATGTGCCATATATGAGTTCTAATTAAAATCTATAATAAATGGGTCCATCACCACTCCTTCACTCTTATTGCTATGCTATCCCTGAAATGAGTGGGAATGTAAGTCTACATGAAGGACCCCCGCACACAGAGGACATGTTGGTGTCCCTCCCTTCTGACACCCCAAGGTTAAGGTCAGCGGTGGGGGGCATGGAGCTCAGCTCTGACCTTGCAGCCCCCAGCACATTTAGCCAACGGAGTTGGCTTTCGAACCCTGACCTTGGGAAGTGGATGAGCAGGTCCAACTATGAGCCTCCATGATTCTAACTTGTGACTCAAGCCATAATTGAAGGCAAGGTTTTGAGAAGGCTTTGCATAATTTGTACACGAATGAGGGGGAGATGACATGCCCCCCAAATCCCAGCACTTCCCCAGAATGCTAACATTCCACAGCCTGAAGCTTAAAACTTAAAATAAGAAATCAGAACAAAATTGCAAAATTGAAAGAGCTTCCCGCATTCTTTGCCAGGGACCACACTGCTTTATACTCAGGAGCCTGTGATGACCTTCTAGCATTATTAAAGTGAAACGCATATTTGCTAATTACCAGAGTCTCTGCCTGGCTTTCAGAAAATCCTCGGTTTAACCTGACTTTCCAGGCACATGACATATAAACCTTTATTTGGATAACCAGGCTCAAAATTACTGGCCCTATACGTCCATGGCCAGTGTCCCCGAGTATCTGCACACCTTCCTGCAGGAAGTTCCGCAAGGGGAGGGCTAGCCTGACGGCTCTGTAGGAAGGGTGCCTTCATTTTACTTTGGTTCTGTAACCGCCAGCCCTGGAACCACCTTGGCTGAGACCGTTAGGTCTGAATGGAGGACCTGTGTCACCATTCCCAGGGACAAGAGCACGGAGGGTCCTAACTGCTCACCACCCCTCTCTGCTTTCCACTGTGTGAGCACAGAGCAAGAAGGTGGCTGTCTGCAGCCCAGAAGAGGCTGTTGCCAGAACCCCACCCTGCTGGCCCCCCTGATCCCGACTCCCAGCTTCCAGGAGCGTGGGGCACGAATGGCTGTTGTTTAAAAGCCACCCAGTGTGTGGTGCTTTATGACAGCTATCTGAGCAGACACCCTCTGATCCACAGTCAAGTAAATGCTGGTTAGCATCTCTTTTGCCAAAAGCACACAACATATTGGGCCCTCTCAGAATGTCCCACTTACTAGAAAGACAACATAAAATGTACACAATGTTCTCTCTTAACTGTCACCTGAACACTAACATGAGTTAGGGAACTCAGGAGAATTCAGAGAAGGTGGACAGAGTGAGGACCTTCTGCCCCTGTAGCTCTGCCCCGGCACCACGCGCCTCCCACCCACACCAGCCCTGCTCCAGAATCCATTGTGGACACGCTCTGCATGACATGCCCATGGTCTAAACAGTGAGGGGTGGGCAGAGGAGAGTGATGGTGGGGTGGGGCCCCCCCAGGAGCAGCCTGGAGGAACCAGGGCTGGGTGGCAACCCCTGGCGCAGAAACCAGGGGGATGAGAACCAGGAACAGGTGGGCCGGCCCTGCAGGGGAGGACAGCTCCGGCATGGGCCCGGCCGGGAGGAGGAAGGTGCTTTCATTTGTAGGCTGACTGCCCCGCATTCCCTGTAGTTCCCAAGGTAATGGTGCAGTACACCCCAAAATGATGTGTCCACATCCTAACTCCTAAGATCTGTGACTGAAAGCTTATTTCGGAAAGCAATCTTTGCAGATGTAATTAGTTATGCACCTGGAGATGAGATTATTGTAAACTACCCAAGGACAAGTGTCCTTGTAAGAGACACACAGGGAGACACACGTGGGGGAGGCCTGTGAGGAGGGAGGCTGGGGCAGTAAAGATGCGGCCACGAGCCCAGGACTACCTGGGGCGCCAGGAGCTGCACCAGGAGCTGGAAGAGGCAGGAAGGACCTTCCCCGAAAGCCTCCAGAAGGAGTGAGGCTTTGGACACTTTGGCCTTAGATTTTGGACTCCAGAATTGTGAGAGTGTAAGTTTCTGCTTTTTTAGGCCACCAGCTGGGTAATTTGTCACGTGGCCGAGGGACACCCGCACACCTGGGCTTTTGGCCCCATAACCAGGGCACTGGGACACAGACACTTCTAGGACCGTGTGACACAGGCCCTGCATGCCAGGGACAAAATGTGAGCAGGCACTTTGACACAGGACGTTTGAGGGCACTTGTGTGTGAACCAAAAATAAAACCCACAACAACTAATGTTACAGAGAAAACCACAACAAAGGAAACAGAAGAGACTCAAGGACGAACGCCTACTGCATGTGGGTGTGACCTGCATGGACCAGCAGGATGTGGGGGGTGGCGCCTGCCCACTCCCAGTGGGGCGGTCTCACTCACTCCCAGCAGGAGGGGGTGCGTGGGGAGGGAGCTCACTCACTTCCCCATATCGGGATGTCTCTGCTCTCTGCCTTCATCACGATGGAGGACATCGTCAGGGTGACAGCGATGGCATCGAAGTAAGAGGAGTGCGGAGCCAGGGTGAGGATGGTGGCCTCAGACGGAGAGGCCTGCCGCCCCTTCGTGATCACCCAGTGGAAGCCGCCGGAAAACCACATGGTGCGCATGATGGCCTTGAGCAGGAAGTCCACAACCCTACAAAACAAGGTGCAGCAGTTACCCTGGGCCAGAGCAGGGGTGTCACGGGCGCCGGGCTCAGCTCGCTAGCACAAGGCTGACCCGTGGACACGGACACTAGAAGCTCGGCACTGACCTCGGGCGGGTCATCCAGGGTGCGCTCTGGACCCATCCACACCCCAGACAGCGGTTACTGCACCGTCCGGATGCTGTGCTTCCCTCCCTCCCCTCCACTAAACGTGGGGTGGGATGCCTTTTTATTAATTTAGCCAAGAAAACAGAAGTGCTGTCTCTGCCCCAAGACACGGCGTCATGAAGACCAACACCGACTCCTGAAGAGAGTAAGCAGAGCAAGGACGCAGGTGACGTTACAGCCACTGGGACCTTAAGTGCTGGAAGGTGACTTATTAGCATAAGTGAAAAAAAACCCCACCAAGATATCTAAAACACCATTAAAATCAGGAGTGACGTTGGGGCTGAGACCAGGGGCAGAGGTCTGTGGCGAGCCACTCCCATCCCCTGCCCTCAGGCTCCTGAGGTGCCAGAATCAGATGCCATGTTATTAAAGCAAGCCTCTTCTTGATGAAATTAGATGGATAAATGTGGAAAATAAAATAACAATCAGCCTAGATTAACTGAACTTGCTTCCTATTTGTTTTTTAAACATATAAGAATTTTATTTATTTTTTAAAAGATTTTATTTACTTATTTGACAGAGACACAGTGAGAGAGGGAACACAAGCAGGGGGAGTGGGAGAGGGAGAAGCAGGGAGCCCGATGCGGGGCTCGATCCCAGGACCCTGGGACCATGACCTGAGCTGAAGGCAGACGCCCAACAACTGAGCCACCCAGGCGCCCCAAACATACGAGAATTTAATTAGGCATTTAAATCTGCACATCCCTCTGTGTCACCTGTGACCAACTGCAACTAGATGAAGACCCATGTCACTGAAACCACATATGGAGGCAAAAGGCCTGGCACGTGAGTGACCACGGGCCCAGGAGAAGGGGTCACCTCTTGTGAGGAGCCGTGTCGCACTGGGCTGCTGGGTTATGCAGATGGTCAGACTGCACAAAAGAAACATAAGAGCTTGAAACCTCACTGGGCCGGTCCCCAAGGGGCTTAAAAACCCTCTCGAGAGAATCCTGGAAGATGAGGCCCCACAGTGCCGAGCAGTAGCCAATCCCCAGATGAGCACCGAGCCCCTGGTGGAGCCATGTCGAGAAGGCCCCTGTTTGGATGGAGAACAGTTATTGTGTGATTGTATGCCGAGATGCTGGGGCCAGGCTTTGATGCCCCATCTCCAGCACTGGGTGCAAGCAAAGGTATGCACTTCTCACTATTTGTCCAACTGCATAGTTTTGAACACACTTGTCTGCACGCACGCTAGTTTTCATAAGAACACATTCAGAAATAAAAGCCAAGAGATATCCACTGGTACACGAGGAAGAAATGAGGCTTTGTGCAGGGGACCCAGAGCCAGTCCCAGGAAGTCGTATTCTGAGGAAGGCAGAGAGGGAGCTGCTCGGAAGTGGGGACCTCCGGATGTGTCTGTAAGAGACACACCCACCAGCCCTCAGGTCCGAAGGCCAAACGGCACTAAACAGAAATGCGGGGGGAGTATGGATGCACCACACCTAACAATTCTCTCAAGATCTCGGAGGAATTCCAGCCCCAGTGAGACCGTGCACCAGGCAGAGCCAGCCTGTGGGTGCGGATGCAGGCCCAGAGCAAGCCCCGCGCCACGCCCCCCGCCTGCCGCAGAGGAAGCCAGCGACAAGCCCGAGGTGCCTACAGGGTGATTCCCGGGACCAGCGAGTTGGGAGACAGAACTACAGGCACAAGGGCAGCGACCTCCAGCCTTTGCCGCATCCTCTGTTCATCGCCCCCGGGCGGGGGGAGGGTGCCCTAGAATCTGAGACGGGGCAGAACCAGCCACGGGGCACAGAAGAGACTCTGACGTGAGGAGACGTGGTGGCTGGCATCAGAAGAGAGGCTGGGAGTCCACACTCTCCTCAGGCTGTGATAGAACCCAGGACAGAGAACAAGAACGCACGCTCGGAAATCCAGTATCTCACTGCACGAAGAGCCAGTTCCCGGGGAGCTGGAGGGCGGGAAGGAAGTCTCTGGAACATGCCAGAGAAAAAGGACAGCACCTGGGCAGGAAGGGAGCAGTTTCTAGGGCTGAAGATAGACACAGATCTTCAGCACATCAAGGAGCAGAACGAACTTAAGACAAAACGACAGACTCCTACAGTTTCCTTGAGAACTTCTCAAATTCCCAAGGACAGAGAGAAGAGTCCAAAACTCAGAGAGGAACATGCAGGCTCCCCAAGAGTCACCGCCGAAGGTGCCGGCAGCTACGTGGCTCTGGGGCCGTAAGATGTGGAACCTATAGTTCTCTGCCCGGACCAGCTACCCATCAACATTGAGGGGAGAATGAAGACATGTTCAGACACAAAATGCACCCGAGTTTCTCCTGCTTGTCCTCTTTCTGAGACAAAACCTATGCTCCAGGAAATCGAGGAGGGAAAAATGAGAAAAAAGAAAGAAAAACCCCAAACCAGGCCCAGGAGATAGATCATGCCCAGAAGATCTGCAGGAAGGCACTGCATCTGGCAGAAGAGTGACCTGTGGGGGATCGGGGGCTCTGGGACTCTCTGGGAAAAGAGCGTAATTCCAGCAAGGCGGCGAGACCACGAGGGAGCAGAACTGTAAGGCTACGCTCAGTGCTCATTATTCTGTAGCAACAGGCAAAACGTGAGTCTGACTGTGATGGGAAATAAGGTTAAATGCGGTCATAAGGGTGGGGCTCCGATGCCAGGGGGCTGGTATCCTGGTAGGAGGGAGAGCAGAGCTTTCCGCCAGGGGAGGACAGCAAGGGGGCACCGTCTGCGGGCCAGGAACCGGGTCTGCCAGCACACGGGTTCCCGACGCCCAGCTTCTGGAAAACTTCTGTCATTTAGGCCCCCAGCCCGTGGCACGTGGTTACAGTGGCTGGAGTTATGACATCCTCTAACCATGTGAGTTGGCCACAGGGCAGCACCCAGAGGACACTTGGTCTGCCGGTCAGGTTTTGCAAGAAGATGCTCCGGTTTTTACGCTACTTTGTGGTTTGAAAGTAACCTTGAGTAAATGTCCTTGGGAAATTGTGTCATTCTTCCTTTCATTGAAAACCCAAGGCTTTTATTTTAAGAGGTTTGAATGACACTAACTTATATTCAGCAAAAACCCTCCCTGATGGAACATCAATCTATTCAAATCCACACAACTCTGCACAGCATGGAATGATGTGCCTCCCTGCTGACTCCCTGAGGATTCTTCGGTACAAGCCTGCGGACTCTGAAACCCGTTGTTTCGAAACCCACTTCTCCCTAACTCCTGAGTCCCCAGATCAGGCACTTTGTCACCGTTCCCCTTTAAGGGGTTCAGTGCTGACTGTCCTTTGCTTCCCCTGGAGCACCAGCCAGAGCAGGGCTGTGCGTGGAGTTCCTGAAATACTGCTGTGTGGAGGCCCTGAGGGCTGTGCATGCACACACACGCATCATATATACGTGCGCGCGCACACACGCCCCCAGGGCACATATGTGCCCACGCATGATCGCACACACACAATGCACACATGTACGCGTGCACACGCTCACAACACACATGCATGCATGCACACACACGTACACATGCATACTCGCCCGCATGCACATACATATGTATACACACACATGCTCACACAAGGCATTACACACATGCACAAGCTCACACACCTGTACACACATGCGCATGCTTACACAACATACACATGGTACACTCACGTGCGCATATACACATCCATACACACAGTGCTTGGACACACATATGCACACATGTACACATACTTGTACACCTGCACAGGCAGGTAACACATGCTCGCACAGTATGCACATGTGAACACAGTGCTGAGCAGTCTCCATGCACGCAGAGACCCAGAGTTCTCATGAAACCTCAGACGTGTCTATATCTTGCCACGAGGGCCACCTCTCAGACACACGCTAGGGCACACGAGGCGCCCTGAAGCAGTGCTGTTGGCACTAGTCAGCTGAGGCCCCGTACCACCCGAGCCCAGCGGAGCGTGTGGAGCTGGTACGGGAAACGGAGAACAGCCCAGAGTCCCACACTCCAAAAAGAGAATCCACAGGGGGATGAGTGAAGAGGGGGGGAGGGAGCCCAGCCCCTACACTCCCTCCCTCTCTCCCTCCCCCTCCCCCTTACACTCACCCCTCCATTCCCTCCCCCCCCCTACACCCCCCCCCCCCCCCCCCCCCCCCCCCCCACTCAGGACCCACTTCCTAGCACCCTGGAGCCTGGTGCTGCACTGGGGCTGGAGTGGGAACGGATTCTGGCCTGCCTTCCAGTCTTTCAGGGAGGAAGACCATGGTTCACTTGACTCTGACATGGTCTAAGAACGTGAACACCGTGAGGAGCGCACAGCCACGTGAGGAGTTCCCCGGTCAGCTGGACCGTCCCCAATGGCCAAGCCACACGTCTCGCCGGCCCAGGAAACCTGCGAATCGAAATTCGCTGTCTTTGCTATGCACGTCACTGTTGTGCGTGCCCATGGCAGGTGCACGTCGGGAAAGCCGACCTTGAGGACACGCGCCAGGTCCCACCTGCCTCTCGCGGGCATCGTGTTCCTGTTGGTCGGATGCTTCCTAGGGAAGGAGGACTGAGCCGATCTGCTAAGCCCTAAAGGGCAAGGAGCAAATATTTGAGGCTCTGTGGGCTGCACAGCCTCTGCCTCCGTGAAGGAGGTCCTGGTGTGGCTCAGTTCCAGAAAAACTGTACATATAAAAACAGGCAGTGGCTGGATATGGCCCAGGTTTAGGGGACCCCTGTGCTAGGCTGATGATATTTCTGTTTCTGCATCAACTGTTTGAGGACCCCGAGGGGTTGATGAGAGGCACTAAGGTGTGGACAATCGGCAGCACTCTGGGTTTTCAACAGAAACGACAACTTCTAAGATGCTGGAAATATTTATCAAAGTCCTTATATCTCTGCATCTTCATTACTAATGGTGTATACTTTAAGAACAGCTTTAGGGATAAACAAGAAAATATTCTGGTTTAATTTAATTTTCTGAGGTCCACGTTGAGTCTCTAGTTAAGATGTATTCAAAACATGGGATGCCTGGGTGACTCAGCTGAGCATCTGACACAGGATTTTGGCTCAGGTCATGGTCTCAGGGTCCTCGGACTGAGTCCCCCAGCTCTGCATTCCGAGGTGAGTCTGCTTGGGATTCTTTCTCTCCCTCTGCCCCTCTCCCTGTTTGTGCTCACATGTGTACACGCTCACTCTCTCTCCCTCTAAAATAAATAAACCTTAAAAAAAAAGATGTATTCAAAACACGTCCATCTATAGATGGTCGTGCTTTATTAATATTCAACGAGTAAACACAAGGGAACTTCTGGGTCTATGAAGCAAGGGGGGGGCACTCGACCCTGCAGAGACCAGACCAGCACACCAGACGGACGTTGGCCGACACGCAGCCTTCCAGGGCCGGGGATGTGGAAACGCGGCGGGGAGCCTCTGTGCTGAGGACACGCCAAGAGCGGCTGCGTGGCTGGCAGGACCCTGGAAGACACACCTCAGAGCAGGACTGAGGCAGCGGTGTGCCAGGGAACGGCACCAGCCACCCCCAGAGAGGAAGGAGGCATGTGGCTGGCAGTGTCCTAGATGGGAGAAGCTGCGGAAAGGAGGAAGGGGCACTGGGACCCCGCATGTCAGAGCACCTGCACACGAGTGACTTACTTCCGCCACGTGGCCGGGGGCTGTTCGGGTTCCCTGTCTGAGGACCCCAGTGTAGCGAAGAACGTGAAGGGCCAGGCGAGCAGCATCATGGTAACGATGAGTAGCAGCCGGATGGGGAAGAGCGTCAGCGTCATGAAGATGATCTGGAAAGACAGAGGTGAGGTCATTCCAGAACCATTCGCCAGAGAACTGGTCCTCTGGACTCCGCGTGCGAAGCCGGGCCCGGATCCCTATGGAAACGCGGCGCCCGCCCCGGGCCCAGGGCGCTGCCCTCACACGATAGTGGGGCAGGTGGCCCAGGATATCCTGCCAAGCGTCTCCGATCATGCTGCTGCGCCCCATCCCGCTCCAGCCTCAAGTAGCCCCATGTGGCAACGGCAAATGGACCATAGAGCTCGCCCGGACCCTAGAGCCCCACAGCCCCACACCCGAGACCCTCTCTAGCTGGGCCCAGCACATGCGCCCTGCTCTTCTTAGCTTCCCGAGTCCCAGCCCAACCCGGGATGCCTTTGCCATGCTGAGCTGCCATGCAGGGGGCCAGCAGGTACGGAGCTGGCCAGACGGACTGTGGCCACAAGGAAGACCAGGGACCCCACGGGACTCTCCAGCCCCAGGAAGTCACGGCAGGAGCCCAGCAGAGAACAGGGCTCAGCCAGCCCGCCTTCAAACAAGCAGCACTGGGGGGCTTCACACGCCCCCACGGGTCTGGTTGGGAAGATGCCATGGGAGGGGCTCTGTGGGGATGGGCAGGCCCTCCAGTGAGGGGGACAGCTGCAAACACGGGGTGGGGGCAAGGATGGACATGTTCGGGGAGAGTCAGGGAGAGTCAACGGTGGCTGGATGGCTGTGTCTAAAAGCAAGCACTCCTAGGCACAAAGCCATGCTCTGGTTCTCACCTGGGGTACACACTCAGGAATGGTGCGTTCTGGGACAAACTTAATCTCAGGAGGTTAATTAGAAAACAGGGTGGGGGGAGGGATGACAAAACTTAAAACTTGCAAGGGATTTATGATCAATAGATGCAATTTATAATTATTTGCAATAATACACACTTCAGAAATGCAGGGTTTTGATGCAGAGAGGGTAGAAAAGAGGCCAAGAGAAGGTGCACAGTGACATCTCCCAGCCGCTTGGCTGACCCAGGCCGAAGGGCCCCACAGCGGCTCGCCTGGCTGGGTCCCTGTAATCTGCACCTGAGCTGTGCGGACTGGCCCCACAGACCCTCCGTAGATTCTCCTGGGGCCTCTATCAAGACTGCACTGCCCAGTGGGCATACGATGCAAGCCACGTATGTAATTTTAGACTGTCTAGTGGCCGCATATAGAACATAAAAGGGGATGAAATTAATGTAACATATTCATATATCTGACGCACTATCATTTCAGCACGGACTCAATACAAAAATTATGAATGAGGTATTTCACACTTTTTCATAACGTCTTGAAAATCCAGTGTTCACCTGATGCTCTAGCTCATCTTGAGTCCCAACCGCCCCACGTGGCCTGCAGCCACCCACGGCATCCTGCGGTCCTGCATCACCACACGACTGGCAGGGGACGGCAAGCCGGAGTGGCCTGGGCCTGTGCAGGCCTCCTCCCCGTCCGTCCGGGGCACCGCCTCCAGGCTGAGCAGGAGAGGCAGCTGATCCGCATCTTGTGGGTGACGTTGGTGACAATGTTTCCTTTCAAGTGGGCGCTTACTCTAAGTTGTAGCAAATGTTCTTCCCTGATGAGAACGTACCTTCCCTCCCCTGGTTTTTTGAGAGTTGCGTTTGCTTCAGGTTGTGCTGCCCTTCCTGCATCCAGCGGGGAGATTACGGGGAGATTACGGTGCTCGAGCTCACTCAGCCCACGTACGCGACATGCCGCACCCACTGCATTTCCAACGTGAAAACCTCGGTCACAGTGCCGGCTGGCTACCCGCTGGGGCTTCTTTTTTCTCTGGAGCTGCTGAGTTTGCTTGCTAGCATGCATCCGGGGGCAAGTCGGGGGCAAGCAGACCCACAACTTCCCCCTGGGTGGGCCCTGCAGTGACGTCCACACGCCAGTGAGCCAGCTCTTCAGGGGAATTTCTACCAAGATATATATATATACATATATCTCACTACTGGTTTCTTCGCTTTTCTTTCTTTTTTTTTTTTTTTTGTTTATCTAGATTTTCTACTTTTGCTTGAATTCATTTCAGGGGTTTTGTCAGAGAAAAACCTCTCTGAAAGTCCCCAGCAGATTTTTTTTCCTCCCCCGATTACTTCCCCATCGTGTGTTTTCAAGATAATCGAATGAAGCTGCCCACTGCATTCTTCCGTGTGTTTACAACAACCCGGCCCCGACCCATCGTGTACTTACTATTATTTGGGCCTCTAAAACTTCTCAGCCTATGTTGACAGATATTCTTCTAGTTTATTAATGTTTGTTGAGCCAGTTTTGGATGTATTTACTGTCTCTACTGTGACCAGTTGGTCATATTAATTTTAGCTCCTACAGACTCTCTCTCACTCAACTCTAATGTCCCTTTTAACTTCTTGAGGCAAACGTCCCAGTGTTGTTTTCAGAAGTACCCTCTTTCTCAACAGTCACGCTGAGAACACACAGCGATGAGTGGGCAGGTGGACACGCGATGTGGTCCGAGAGTCACAGACCTACAGTGAACCGCGTGGACCCTGAAGGACGGGGCAGAAAGTAGCTCTACAGGCAGATTATGGAGTGCTGTGTGAACTGCCTGGGGAAGGCAAGCCCCCTCAGGAGCCCACAGGGTGCAGGGGGGACCTGCTTTCACCTGGCCCAACCAGAGGGCCTGCGTGTTTCTGCCAGGCTCAGCCTTGCCCTGGAGGAGGGGAAACTGTCCCCAGAAGGGGCAGGACTTGGAAGGCATCATGCAGCCCCCCTTCCAGAACCTTCTGTGGGCTCTGACCACTTGTCCTGAGCTCTAGGCTGCCCCCTGGTTGGACCCTCCTGTTTTCCTGCACCTCCTGGCCCACTTGTCTTCACAGGCTCTGTGGCCCGTGTCCACCCAGGCGCAGCCACTGGCCTCCCAGCATCCTCGCTGTCCACCACGCCCTGTGCAAACTGGCCCAGGGCTTGAGCCTGCCCGAGCACACTCAGTGTTTCCAGCCACAGGACAACAGCCAGGACAGCCGTGTCAGCCACGTGGACGTTCTCAAGTGTGCTGGGGCTGCGGAGAGACCACAATCACCAAAAAGACGTTGGTAGAAAGTCCTGCTGGACTGGAAAACAAAGGGCACGGGGCAGATGAAAGGGAGCGGTCCTGCCGTCTCCAGGCAGCTCGGCTGAGCACTCACAAGGCACTGTAATTAGCGGCAAGGCTGGCCTCGGTGCCTCCCTCCCCCAGGGCACCACGAGCACCTCTGTTCCTCGGCCGGCCTGGAGGGCAAGCCTGCGGAGTTACAGAGCCCTAGGATCATAGTCGCCAGGGGGAACGTGCAGGGAGGCAGGGGGTGTCCTGTGGAGAGGGCAGGGCTCCGTTTCCCACAACCCAAATAAGAGCCAGCTCTGTGCCGGACACTGACTCAGACCCCCGGCCAGGGACAGCCCCTGGGATCCACTCCCACAGAAGCCCCTCTCAGAGCCAGGAGGTGGGTCAGCAGATGCTACCTGTGCAGGCAGGGATGGATGGACAGCGGCGTGGGAGGGGGCAGGCGTGGGCGGGAGGGCAGGGGCCTCGGGGACAGAGTGCTGGCCTCGCTCCCAGGTGACGGCCCTGGGTGGGGGCGGAGGACGAAGCAGCAGCATCGGGGGAGAACGCTGCAGACCGAGCAGGCAACGCAGGACCTGCGTCTGCGTCCCCTCCACAAAGCTCCCACTGCCCCTCGGCAGCCCAGTCACCCTCAGAAGCACCAGGTCAAGTAAACCGTGTGCTCGCTCCTGCGAGCTGAGGGTTTGCAACCCAGTTCTAGGAGAACCTACATTCAGACTCCCTGGCTGAGCGAGGTTATGTGCCTTGGAGGCTGGCTACGATACACTGTCCATCAGGAAGCGGATTACCGTGAACAGACGCGGACACACAAGCTCACGGTTCCTCTGTGTCATGGAGCAGCCATTCTAACCTGGCATGCTCCATCAGGAGTCCCCAGTGAGCAGACCCCGGTGGGGACCCACCAAGGTGCAGGGGGAACATCACGGCTGCCTCCGGGCTCTGAACGCCATTCCCTGCCTGAAGGAGCCAGGACTCCTGAGCAAAGCCAATTCCAGGCCGGGGCAGAAAATGTGGAAGATGAACCGGGACAGCGGGGGACAGTGGGGTACAGCTGAAATCAGGAAGGCGGCCAAGGCCCCTGGACTCCGGAGACCCCCCCGGCAGAACCAATAAGATCAATGCACTGACGGGAACTTCACGTGTGCTTGCACCCTGCGTCCATCACCCCGGGCGCACATGCACGTCTGCACACACCCCACCTCGCTGGTCGCCTTTGGAGGGACGCAGGCTCCTGAGTGTGATGCTGGCCCACATGGTCTGTCCCATGAGACCGTCCCTCAGGGCAGCCACGGGGGGGATCCGGGAGCATTCCCCACGGGCTCCCCAGAACCTCACGGCTCACGCACACCGGTGTGAGGGAGGGGCCTGCGCACACGGGGACAGGCACGCACACATGGGCCGTATGTGGAAGGCCCACGGCACAACCCAACAGAAATGGCATCTCTTCAGTTCTGGATCAAGGACCACTTCCCAGAAAACACGGAAGATGAGGGGAGGCAATCGGCAGACCAGGAAACTCTCCAGGGCAAATGCCCCAAATACACTGGAAGGGGCCGTGCAGGTGAGCGTATGTGAGGCCGTGGGGCTGGTGGGGCTGATGCATGCACCCGGCTCAGCGCCCGTGTGGGGATGCAGACTGGCTGCCCGCACCGTCACGTGTGGGGCTGGCGGTCCTCCTCCTTGGGATGCAGATACACCCCGGAGCATTCGTGGCTGAAATGGTGAAGTCTGGGCTTTGCTTCCCAGTCACTGTGGGTGGGAGGAAAGTGGGTGTCCGTGAGACCAGAGCGGCCGTAGGCTGGTGATTGCCGCGGTGGGGACGGTGGGCACGGGGCTCATTACATTTTCTCTGCTTTGGTGTTAGGGGCTGAACTGTGTGCCCCCCTCCCCAGGACCTCAGAATGTGGCTGTATTTGCAGCCAGGGCCTTT